AAAAAAAAAAAAAAAAAAAAAAAAAGGCATATTCCCTTGCTCTTGACTGTTCTATTTTTCTTGTTTAAGAAAACCTGGTCTTCAGTCAAGGGTCTCAGTGCTTCACACCCTACGTTTCTCTTACACAGTTGTTTTATCCTGTGATTATCTTACAAATAAATGTCCCAAATGTATCTCTTGGTCCCCCCCTCACCCCTACTGCAAGGTTGCCAGCTCACCCATTTATCCATCCTTGAGGCAGGCTCCAGGAGAGAGCTTGGGATGTGCAGCTTCTGCGGGACACAGAGCAGAGCAAAGCGAAACAGGAGCTGCTGCTGTGGCAGCCACAGCCCCAGCCCCCCCAGTCCCTGTCACTGTCTGTACCCCTACAGCCACACAAATGTGCCTGGGGGGCCTGGGGTGACACACAGCCCCCCATGTGCCTTGTGCTCAGACACTGCTGAACAAAATCCAAGGGTCCTTTTGCACCTTTCTCACTGCTGATGGAGTAGCTGTAACACATCAGACACTCACCAATCCACAGCCCCTGTTCCCAGGACAGATGCTTAGGCAGAGCATCTGTCCTGGAGCCAAGGACACTCAGGGCCACCAGTCCAGCAGCATATCTGTGTCTTCTGACAATCGCTGCTATTGATTTCAACTGATCATTGTGAGTAATTGTTTGCTTACAGTGCTTTTTTTTTGGTCCAGAGTCTATTATTTTACTTTTCTTGACTTTGAATTTCACCTGACACTACACTGAGTGGTCAACCAGCACATCCAAATACTTGTGTGACTCTTCATTCTTAGCTACAGATGCCTCAGGCTCTGCTGAATGGTTTGATTGTCTGTCATGGAACATGGCCAGCTTAAGAAGCACCATATTACTACACCTGTTACTGTAGCACTTAGGAATTTGCTAAAAGTTTATGTCACAGCAGATTCACTGTGGGTACATAATTACTTTGAAAAAAAAAAAAAGGAAAAAAAAAAAACAACTCCCTGTTCATTTAGTGGGTATAACCTGTTACCAGTCCTCAGAACGCTGAGTCCCTTGCTCAGACACCTCACTGGTTTACAGTAGTCATGTGAAGAATCTTTTGACTGTTTTGGAAAGACGGGCAGGTAATACATTCATTGGCTGCACCTAATCCAGGTATGCAATGGCTCTTTCAAAGAACTGAAGTAGACATGTGAGAAAAGGCTTCTGCCAACAAAAGATTTTTCATGTTGTTGTGTTTATCTGTTTACGCTACAGTTCCCCAGCCTGCAGGAAGATGTCAGATTTGCTGGGCTTTTATTCCTTAGTTCTTCTCTAGAGCCCTTTATAAAACCTGCCTGCATAGCTGAAACCCTCCCCAAACCTCCCCAAAGCTAATTTAACAGAGGCACCAGAGTAAAGAATGACCCATCTCCTCAGCTCCCTTAGAGCTCTCAGGTGACAAAAACTGCTCTAGTTGGTGGTCCTTGGTGAGGTCTGGTGTCCCAGATGATTCAGCAGTAGGATCCTGGATGATGGAGAGCATGAGAGCCCAAAAGGTGCCCACATGGAACTGCAGAGGTGAATGGCAGAGGCTGGTGGGAGCCAAGTGTCAGGAAATCTCTGGTATGTGGAAATGAGCTCCTGAACTCACCTCCTGCTCTGCAGGGCTGCAGGTGACCCTGAGGGCTGTGCTCAGAGGGCCATGGGCTCTGCTGGGGGCTGGGCTGTGCAGACCCCTGTTCTCTCACCTGTCCATCGTGGATGGCTGTGGCCCAGCCCTCTGCTCCCCTGCTCAGCACAAACACCAAACTGCCGCCCTTCACCACCGGCTCCTCCGACTGCTCGGGGCAATACTGGGACAGGACTCGATGGTATCCTGCCTCACTGTCCCTGTGGAGAAAGAGTGGGAGCACCCTTACTAACCCCAGAGTGCTGGTCCAGAACACTGCACCAATCCCAACTGCCATGTGCCAGAAGTTTCGGGGGTTGGGAAATCATGATTTCCATTGCTACGCTTTGGTCCAACTGTAAACAAAAGGAGCTTGGAAAACACTGATTTACCAAATGCAGCTGCATTTTCATTGTACTGATAAACATTCTCCAGATCAAAACAATTATTAAACTCAGGCCCGAAGTACTGCTGGTACAATATCATCAAAACAAATTACTTTCATGGGTTTTGAACCTGATTTTGGCTCAGCACAGCAGGGTTGGGAGTATTTGGAAGCCTTGTCCTGGGAACCAGGATGGGACAGCTGAGCATCCTCTGTCACAGACCTGGGCATGTCCCACAACCTGCTCTTTCATTCCTCAGCCATAGCATAATCCATGCCTGCCTCCCAAGGCTGCTGAATCAACCCCTGCAAATTGCCCAGAGATTCTTGCATGAGAGATTCCAGGGACCCACAGTGCCCTTTGCATCCACACAAGCCTTTGCATGCTTGTCATTCACCCCACCCTTGGTGAGAAGTGGGTGTGGATCCCTCAGTCTTCACCCAAAGACACCAGAGAACAAACCATGACTTTCTGAACAGAAATAGTGAGAGGAGAGTTAGACCAAGGTGGACAACACTCACCGCAGAGCATCAGCACTGGGTTCATAAAAGCCCTGTTTCTGTGGGAGAAACAACAGCACCTGTTTATAACAGTGCCTCGTCCAGCAGCAGTGCCACCTTATCGCCTGTCCCTCTGAACACCACACTGAGGTATTTTGTCTTTACTCTTGACCCCTTTTGTCACTCCACACCACCCAGACAGAAGTCTGCTGCTCCACACCTCAGCAGGATGTACCTTCTGTTTCTTCCCCTCCCTCTTTACCTCATCAGGAAGCAAGTAACAAGATCTCCTCCCCCTCCCCTGGTTCGAGGAACTCCTATCACAGTGCAAAGCACCTCTCTGAGCTCATGCTCACAGATTTAATGAAGTGCTGGGCAAAGGCATGTTGAGCCCAGCAAAGTCTCCACTGCTGGTGAAGAGTCAAAAATGTATCTTCAAGGGGCTGGAGACTCCCATCACTGAGTCCCTTCCAGCTAGTACTGAGCCCACTGCCTGGCTCTGAACATCCCCATGGAGCCAGGCTGGCAGTGCGCTGGTTAGGGACTGAGCCCCTGCCTGGAGCTCCATGACAGCTCCATTCCTCGTTTCACAGCTATGTCCTGCTCACCTGAGGCCTGAGAGGCTCAAAGCCAATGTACTCATCATTGGGAATGATGGACGAGATCACCTGTTGGAGGACAAAGTAACGACTGAGCCCAGGCTGGATGAAGAGACTCCCAAACTTCATCCAAGATTATCTACTCAGACTAATTTCCTTCTGACATCCTAAGGTTAATAGAGCAATGTACACAGTGGAAAAGGCAGAGCTGGATTCCCAAATCAGACCACATTTTCTTAAGTCTTTTCAAGCTTTCTTTAAAAGTACATTGAATTAATTACTTCCCCTTTCCTTTATTCCTGTTAGAGCTCTTTGGCCTGTGACACTTCTGCTGACTGCACTGGTCACAGAAGGGATCAGATAAATTCTCTACTGACTTGTGTTAAGGGATGTGACAAAGCATTTGTCTCCCAAGTGCCCACCTGTCACACTGGGAATGCAGGACTGAGCTGGAAAAATGTGCTCGTCTTCAAAACGTCATTGTCTGCAAGAGGGGAACCATGAGTTCCCTGAGTACCTGCTTGGTCCTTTCAGACTTTAAAGTGACCAAAATTGGGAAGGGTTTTTAGTCCCAAAATGCATTTTTGATAGAAGAGGTGGCAATTCTAACGAATTTTGTCTTCTGTGTCCCAGGTGCCTGGACTGGTTGCAAGCACTGACTACCCTGTTCCGGGGTCACCCCCAGCACAGTGGCCAGTAGCCCTGTGCTCTGGAGTTGGCAGAGGTGGGATTTTAATCTGCTGCTGTTAATCTTAATGATTATCTGCCTGTTACCTTGGGTTTACCCAGGAAATCTTTGGAATCCAACTGTTCAACTTCCTTCTTCCGTGGTCTGAAAAGTTCCCCAAGAGGAACCTGCATGGGCTCTAAAAACAGGCAGTCCTAGGGCAGAGAAAGCAGACAAGGGAAAAGCCATCAATTGATATTAAATGAAAAGCAAATCCAGCTTCCCCAGGTGTGCAAGAGCAGCTCCAGGAAGACATTGGGGCAAAAATTACGGCTATGAACTTGCCAAAGGCACTTAGGGTCAACAAGCATATGCAAACTGAGAGCTCAGCAGCCACTCCCCAGTGTGGAGTCAAGGGCTAACATGTCCATGGGATGGGTGGAAAGGGGGGCAGTGCAAGAAGGTTTATTAAACAATTTTCTAGACAGTTTTTTTATTTGACTTCAAATGTTTTCTCTGTTCAGCCACTGAGTAGCATGCTAATAGCAAATATAAATAATACGCTGTTGTAAAGTACAAATATGATGCAAGAGATGACTAGACTAAAAACAAAGTGATCATCTCTTGAAAAGTATGCAAATAAGGAAGTTTGAAGGTAGCAAACTAATGAACTGCCCAGGAAGAGTTAAATCAGAGATCTGCAAATGTTTCCTGATCATAAAGGAGTCTAACAGGAAACTATTACTTAGAAGCAGCCCTAGAAACGCTTTCACACCCTCCTTAAGCTCTACATGAGATTGGCATTAATATCTGAGCTGCCACGTGAGTCAGCTGTTCCTGAGGCCAAAGGGACTGAAAGGAGTCAGCCACTGTCACCTGAAGGGAGACTCTCCAGATCTGCACTTGTAGGGGTTCTGCACTTAAAACACTGCACAAGGCACAGGTATGAACAGAACTGAGTGCCTGAACAGGAGAGACCAGGAAGAAACTTCCACAGCCTGACAAGTCACCCCAGAAGTCTCCACTGTGGTGTTTCTGGGCCATGAAGCACCTGGGGGTGATGGAGTTCCTCGATTAGCACTGGTCTGGCAGAGCATCACCAGCCAAAGGCTGGGACTGGGTTAGCAGGTGGATAGACAAGGATCAGCACACTCCCATCACAGTTCTTTGCTGAAGCCCAAAGCACATACCCAGGAACTCAGAGGTGGTCTTACCTGCACCCGCTCAAGGGCCAGGTCCAAGATTGCTGTTCTTCGCTCAGGTCTCCACACAACAGCCTTCTCCAGGGTGACTCTGGCCTCCTGCCACTGCTGCAGGTGGCACTGCACTGCTGCAGTGCTGTACAGCACCTGGAGTGGGCACAGGGGGAGGGCTCAGAGGGCTGGGACCACGACTCCCCCAACATGACCTACTGAACTCGGCCAAGAAATAGGGACCAGGCACTGAAATACCACAAAAACAGCAACGAGAAAGGCACTCTGAGCAGCACAGCTGAAAAAACATCATAATCAGAGTGGAAAAAGATAGAGGTGTGGGTGTGCTGGAGCTGCTGGCTCTGGTCAAGGCAAGGAGAGACATGGGGGCACCAGGTGAAGAGTCTGGTACCACACAGTTTAAATCTGATCCTTCCTGCATCTGAAAGGCCAGAAAGCTTTTCTTGTGTTTCCTTCTGCATGCAACTAGGTGATATTTTTTGTAATTCTGACTGCCTGTCATTGCAAAATAACTGACACTATTTCATGTTGTAGTGGGCTGTGAATGTGCAAATTGTCACTCGTTACCCTTCAGCAGCATGTCAGTCTGTTCAGTGCTGAAGTGCAGGGTGTGGGAGTCTTGCAGACAAGGTGTTGGGGAGCCTTGGTCTGTATGCTGAATTAGGAGTGGGAGATCTCTCCTTGTCACTGGCCAGCAGTCAGTATGTGGGAAACCTGCTGGGCTACAGGCAGAAGAGAGGCCCAAGAGCCACAGCTCGTTATTGTCTGTGATAAGGTTATCAGCCTGCGAGCTGCTCTGCGTGTCTGGCTGCAAGCCCTGCTCGGGACAGAGCTGCAGCCAATGGGATGCTTTTCTTCACTCCTTAATCATGACAGTGGGGACTGTTTGGGGGTGTGGGGAATGACAATCCTGAGCATGCACAAGAACTGCAGAGGTGCTCCCTCTTGGAGAGGCAAGGCAGCAGTTCTCACTCAGTCAGAAGTGTCACAGCCTTGCAAGAGGCAAATATTTCTGGATTTTCACAGCAAACATGTATCTCCCACGAGAAGAGCGGCTGCAGCGTGAGAGGCCAGGCACGGGGAAAGTTGATGGCACAGTTCTGCTGGAGGATTATGTTTGTGTAGTTTGAAAAATGAGCTGCAGGTAGATGTAGGAGCCAGATACAGTTGAATCAGGACGTTAATCCTGAGTCTGGAGGGCCAGCACATGTCCTGGTGATGTCTGGAGTGAGGGACTGTGTGTTCACATCAGGAAGGGGACAAGCCTGCCCTGGATGGCTTCAGGGCACTCCTGCAGCCCTGGCCCTTTCAAAGAAAACCTGTCACCTTAAGTTAGCTCAGAGAAGGCAGCGCTGGCACTGAAACTGTTAAAACCGGGGGGTTTGGGTAATCTCATAGATGCCAAGGAGAGCTTCTTCCTGCCAGGTATAAGGTGCATGAAAATTGCTGATATGCTTGACTGGAGTTACACAATAACTCCTCACTCCCACGGAATTAAGGAGTTAAATACTCTTTCCTGTATCTGCTTTTCAACCTCTATGTGTGGACTCAGGACAGAAGACAGAATGAGCTCTCACAGTAAAGGACAGTTTCTAGAAGTCTTTTACTTTCCAAATATTCCAAATATTTACAATCAATTCAGACTTAGAGCTCTCTGAAACAGGATGGGGCAGGTTGACTCTGTGTAACAGTAAGAGCTGCAGGGTGAAGTGTCACAGAAGCAAACTCAGCCTGCAGCCCAGGGGATAAGTCCAGGCACAGACGGAATATTAAGATCAGTTGCTGCAGTTGGAAAGTCAGGCTTTCGTGCACCTGGATTTCCTAGACTCTGCATTACAACAAGTTTTGTTCTCATCTGTCTATGTTTCAACCTATTTCAGCTCTTAGAGTTGAGGAGTTCACCAAACTGACTAAATATTACACAGAATCCAGACTGGTTTGGCTTGGAAGGGACCTTAAAGCTCATCCAGCTCCCATCCCCCTGCCATGGGCAGGGACACCTTCCGCTATCCCAGGATGCTCCAAACCCTGTCCAACCTGGCCTTGGACACTTCCAGGGATGGGGCAGCCACCACTTTTTCCTATGTATAGAGAAGATAAAAAACCTCAGTATACAAATTCTTGTACGCTTGTTCTGAACAATTTCATTTTCCAAACTGTGTAATTTTGCCAAAATCTCCAAAGATGACATTGTTCTATGACTTTTATCATTAAGTTACTTAAACAAAAAGTGCAAGCAGAAATTTTTTACTGTTCTTAGGTATGGTCTTGAAAAACTCTTGGGTTAGTAATGCCTACTGCTGAATCCCCCAGCAGAAGGGCAGGATTGCTGAGACAGGCTGACTCTTACCTCCCAGGCATAGAGGATGTGCCTCAGCCCCAGCTGCTTGTAATCGACAAAGGGATTCTGTCTTAAGTGACTGAAGGCCATGTGATAGTCAGAGAGAGCATCTTCAAACCTGCAGCACAGAGGTGACAGAAGAAACTGAGGCTAAAAAAGCTGAAGACTGTTTAAGGAGTTCAAAAATCAAGCAGATAACATGTCTTCTGCTCTGTAAGCCTGGGTGGGGAGAGCTGCACCAGAGCTGTGTCATCTTGTGACCATTGTCCTCTCCCTGTTGGTAGACAGCACACAATGAACATGGTCTGTCTCTCCTCTGGGATTACCTGCACTGCTTTACTGACTGGGATGAACAGGAGGCTTTGATCCCTGGAACAGTCACAATTCCAAGGAGGAGAAAATGTAAAGAACAAAGACTAACCACTGCTGTGAGCTCCTTGCCCAGGCTGCTGCTGGCAGTGCTGTCCCAGCACATGTCTGGGAGGAGTGAGGGCTGTGGGAATGCTGTGGGAACCCCATTGATGGTGAGCAGTGAGGGCATGGCCAGAGAAGTAAGAGCAGAAATTTAGAACAACTCCAAGGATAAGGAGGGAATTAGTCTGCATTTATACCAGCTACACGTCTGAAATCCAAACAGGTTCCCACTGAGGCTGCAGGTGGGGAAAGGAAGGGTCCAGGAAGGGCTGTGCAGTGGGTACCTGACCAAGGGCCAGGGAGCACAGACAGGAGAAGTTGCCCAGGTGAGTGGAGGGTGGGAGCAGCATCTGGTGAGGGAAGGAGCCATGGGGTGCTGGTGGCCACCAGCTCTTTGGGCAGGAGGCAGGTCTGCCAGCTGTGCTGCCCCTGCAGTGTGTGTGTCCTTGGGGCACAATGCTCTGTTTCTTCTGGCTGTAGAGCAGCTCCAGTGAGCCAGACAGGGCTCCACCAGCCTGGACTGGGGCTCTGTGGGCAGAGGCACAGAGCCCAGAGCTGCCTGACAGCACAGCTGTGAGTGCAGAACTGCTCACTTTAACTCCCTCCCAGAAATTAAGGTCTGGAAAATACGGGGAAAATAACAGGAAAGAGAATAACTGAAGCTCAAAGGTAAGAAGAGATCTTCAAACCTGAAGAAAATACTTCACCCACTTCTCTGATTTAACCCACTGTGATTTAACCATGGAAACAATGAGTAATCAATCCCATGACATTACTGGAGCAATCTCAATCTTTTATCAGCTGTCAGCAGAGAGTGGCAGTCAGACACTGTGGGCAGACTACATTTTTAGGAAGGCCAGAATCATGTGTGTCATGTGAAGACACATCAAGCAGCCCAATTATATTTTTTTAATTCCTAAAGAAAATCTGAATGGCAACATAACATCCTGGCAGCCCCAGGAGTCTCTGTGTGTACAGGACAGCAATGTCATGTGTTAGCCACCCCTGGGGCCCCAGAGTTGTGCAACTCTTACCAGAGATAGGACTTGCTGTGACACGGTTTGCAAGGCCAAAGCAGACCCTGTGAAGTATTTAAGATTGCTGGAAGAAGTGAATTTTAGAATCATAGATCATTTAGGTTTAGTAATAAAGCATGGCTGGAAGGAGAGAACCAAAGACTGCCCTGGCTGTGCACCTCACTCACATTTCCAGCTGCAGGTGGACCAACCCTCTCTGGAAGTAGCCCACAGCCAGGGAATTGTCCTTCGCCACGGTCTGATCGAAGGCCTAAGGAGGAAAACACAGGCACATCCCCAGGCTCAGCTGGGATCTCCCCTGTCCGTGCCTGGGCACACACACCCAGCCAGCCCTGCCCCAGCTGCCCTGGCAGAGGCAGTCCCTGTGTCCACCTCCCAGGGGCTGCACACAGCCATGAGACATCTTTCAGGTCTTGGCTCTCTACGAGCTGAGCCTCAGGTTTTTATCCCTCCTTGCTATGATGGACTGGACATTCATGAACTACACTGGCCACCTGGCATCTTGTAATGGGAAGACTGTGTAGCCTGGAGCAGTTTGCTGGGACAGGGGGAGCAGTGGAACGGGTCAGGCTGGGGAAGGCTGCATGAAGCACATGATGGGAGCACACGAAAGGGACGGAGCTGCAGGGCTGCACACAATGGCCTCTAAGTCAGTATTTCTGGTTCAGTTCCATGTCTAAATACAGGCAAGCACTAGCAGAGCTGGCAGCAGCTCATGGCTGCTGGTTCAGAGTAAGTCTGAGCTGGGAAAGCTGTGTGAGTGCCATCCTGAGACACTGAGGAGGTGTCCTCCTTCCCTTATCACTGCAGAGGCTGCATGGAGGTAACAGCTCCTGAAACCCAGACTTCCCTGACGCTGCCTGGACAGGGATAGCACTGCAGGGTGAAGATATGCAGCAAGAGGTCAGGGAGTGACTGTGTCTCCTGATGAGGTGGTTCCTGGTTTCCGTGACTTCAGAGCACACCTTACTGGCACTGTCTGCCTGACTGTGCTATAAATGAAATAACAAACAACCAACTGTTGAGCTACACGGAAGTAGAGCTGAGCCTCTTCCCAGGCAGTGCCCATTGATTGGGGCTGAAAAGTCTCTCTTGGGCACTCCTATGACATGCTCAGTGTGTCCCCAGTAGCAACTGCCCTGCCCGGGGGCCCCACGGCTCTGCCCCAGCTCCTAAAGCACAGACTGAGCTCCTCTTTCTGCTGTTTAAGGAAAGGCTTATCTGCACCTCCTTACTGGGCCCTGACAGACAGACACACAGACAGATGGATGTGCAGACATGCCAGGTGCTGTCACAAAAAGGCTTTTCCTCAGGGCAGCTGCTCTCGCTTCCCAAAGGCAGCAGTTTTCCAGCACAGCAGCTTCATTTTGTCAGTCTCCACTGTAAAGCAGGACATTTATTTTTTCAAAATACACCTATCTCATTTCTAAATCCGTGCCTATGTAATAGCTATTGGACCTTCTGCCTGTTTTGATTTAAAGCTACAATGCAGTAGAGGTGTGGTTTTCACATTACAATGAGCTAAGCTCATCTAAAGCTGATTTAGCTTGAGTAAAACTTTAGGTACATTGCCAAATGTGGTTTCTAGTATCTAATTTAAGGTTTCTGTGTTCCTATTATCTCTTCACTTCCAAAACTATTCTGCAACACCTTGAAATTTCCCATTTACCTGGGTTTTCATAATATCTATAGAACCATGGAATCACAGAATCATTAAGGCTGGAAAAGACCTCAAAGCTCATCAAGTCCAACCATTAACCCAGCACCATGGACTTGCAACTAATCCACATCCCCAAGTATCACAACCTCTTTAACTTCAATCTTTTTAAGTTTTCTACGATTCACTCTGCAAAATCTTTTCCTTAAATCACTCATCTCAAACCTTAAACCCTCACTGTCCACATTCCTGACGGGCACGCAGGACATGGAATGCTGGATTTTAACTCGAGTTGCAGCATCGTCCCCTCAAAGAGGGACCTGGGGGAGCCGTGCTGCCCGTCGCTGTGACCGCCTGTCCCCCTGCCCGTGCCCCCCCGACCCCTGGGATCCCTCGGCCCGGTCCCTCACCCTCAGAGCCGCCTCTGGCCGCCGGGCCAGCAGCTGCACGCAGCCCATGTTGAAGCAGATCCGCGCCGGAGGGTCGGGGATGGCGCCGAAGCTCTCCAGGGCCGCGTCCCAGTGCCCGCGGTCCGCCGCCCGCACCCCCTCGTGCCAGCGCCGCACCAGCTCCCGGTACGCCATGGACGGGGCTCACCTGGGGCTCACCTGAGCCTCCCTCACCTGAGCCCCACCTGGGGCTCACCTGCCGGGTGGGGCGGGGCCGGGCGGCCCCTCCGCCCCCTCCGCTCCTCCCCCGGGCGGTGGAGCCCGCCCCTGCCCGGGGACACGGACTTGGAGGGGAAAAGGACACGAGGATGGGACACAGACCCCTTGGGGGGACACGGATCCCATGGGGGCACAGGGACCCGGGGAGTGGTCACGGACCCTGGGAAGGGAAACGGACCCAGGGACGGGACACAGAACCCCGGGAGGGGACACAGACCCCCGGGAAGGGACACCGACTCTAGGAGGGACACAGGGACCCCGAGAGGGGACACGGACACAGGGA